CCCGCCTCCCGCCGCGTCGCGTCGCCCGTAGCGGGGGCCGGAGGCGGCGGCCGCCGTGCCCGCGGCGCGCATGGAGCTGTCGGCCATCGGCGAGCAGGTGTTCGCCGTGGAGAGCATCCGCAAGAAGCGCGTGCGGAAGGTGCGCGGCCGGCGGGAGGGCGGGCGGGGGGCGCGCGTGTCCCCTCCGCGCTCCCCGGGCCGCGGCGCCCCACGTTGCCCTTATTGTTCCCGGGAGGCGGCGGCGGTTGTTGTTGTTATTGTTGTTGTTATTGTTGTTGTTTGTGAGGGCGGCGGGGGGCGCGGGGCACGTGCGGCGCCTGCCGGGGTCCGCAGCGGGGACAGGGGCGGCCTGGGGGGCAGGGAGGTGGGGGGGGAGCTGGGGCCCTTGCCTTGGTTGGGGTTCAGTGTGAGGTGGGTGAGTGGGTGCTTTTTTGGGGTGTGGGGAGGTGCTCTGAGCAGCCTCAGGTCTTTCCTTATTGGAGTTTTCCATTGCTCAAAAGAAAATAAAAGAATCAGTGCTGGCAGTGGCAGCTGCGTACCCCCACCCGGGATGGTTTTGAAAGACTTGGCTGTGAGCTCCGTGACTCAGTTTCCCCGGCTGTGAAAATGCTGTCCAGCTGCACAGGGTGTTGCGAGGATTAACCCTCGTAACGCGCACGGCGTGCGGAGATCCTCCGGTGCAAAGTGCCTTACAGGGCAGTGCCCTTCCGAATATTTGGAAGCTGAATCCCCTCCTTCAGGGAAATGAAACTGGTTGCCTGGCTCCTGGTGTGCCCGAGGGCTTCGGTTTCGGTGCAGTCACTTAAAGGTTTGCACATCTGCARCAGCAGCAGCCTCCTGGGGGTGGCCCTGCATGTGCACAGGCCCTTCCCGAGCTTTGGGCAGAGCCTCACGAGTCTSCCTGTATAATATTAAAATCTTTACTAGTTGTGTGCATTGTTCTGGGGCCCTCAGACGTGATTTTCAAAATACTATTTTTTTTTTTTTCATCTTGTATGTAGGGTGAACAGATAAATGCCCAACTGTGAAGTTCAGTTGTGAATTGCTGTTTATTTGCTTAGAAAGACTGGGTGACTGAGATAGATGGAGCTGTGGATGTAGCAATTGGAAGGGAACATGCCAAAGAGACACTTCATAGGCTCTGAAACCTATGAAACCTGTATTTTTTCTCCCTGCTTAAACAGATTCCTCTAAGCCTTGTTCCTGGGATCCCCTCTGCTCACGTTTATGCCTGCTGGAATTTGTAGGCTTGCCTGTGGATGCAGGAGCGGTTGCAGTGCTTCTCCAGGGGACCCGGGGGTTCTGCCTCCTGCAAAGGCACTAGGGTTATTTACAACTGCTTGAACTATGTGCCCCATCTTCTGGGGAAAAAACCTAGAGCCAGCCTAGTCGAATGAGGAAGTAGCTTTGTTTTGAAAATACGGTGATAGGAAATGAGCTTTCAAGTTGCAGGGTTTAGTCTTGCTGATTGGCTGCATCTCTTGCTGTAGCCCGTATTTGGTTACCAAGTTCACCTGTTTTTCTTTTTCCTTTTTTCCACCCTTAGGGTAAAGTAGAATACCTGGTGAAGTGGAAAGGATGGCCCCCAAAGTAAGTTGTGATTTACTTCTTTGCTTTAATAATTGGTAATAGCCTTAGCTGTATCTCTGTGGCTTAGCATCCCATTCTTCATGGCTAACATTTTGCCCATTCTTCATGGCTAACATTTTGTGCCT